CTTGAGGTTATTCAAGTACCAAACTCTATTAATATGAGGTATTTTGGAAGGTTTAGGGCCAAAGGTAAATTCGTGCAAGTTTGGGCGAAAGGAGACATAATAGCATATAATTGGAGTATCGAGTCCGAAAATGGTATTAGAGTCTGATTTGAATATAGAACGGTTCACTTCGAAGTGGACCCACATTCCGAGACCTTGGGAACCATTAGTAAGTGGCACTTTCGGAGGAAACCAAAAGATAATCCCGTGCGGATTTGGCTCAAATTGGACAAAATCATTCTAATTGACATCTTGCAAAACAAATGGTATCATAGCCTGGTTAAGATCTACTACGGTGGACTTCTGAGTGAACCCTCATTTTTTTTTTTTATAAAGGTGAGTGAACCCTCATTCTTAAACCTCGGGATTTCTTTTTTGAGACAGGATGTTCCATTAATATGATATTATTCTCTTTGGACCTAACCCGCATGGATGGTTTGTTTTTTGATTCCTTCCCAAAATGCTTCATACTACTGAAATTTGGTGGACATAGTTCTTTCACTTGTTATGAGGCTAATTCCCATGTACGTTTGTTGGCAGTGTGCTTTTTAGGTTGGTGAACTAGAGGAAGCCGTATGGTGTGGAAGAATTGAATTGACAAAATTATTTAAGTTGTGAGGATGCAACAGTCGGCGAAGTTCATGAGTGAGCAAAGTGCACAAATTGAATTGGTGAAATTCTTTAGATTTCAAGTTAAAACGAATTTTGTAAGATTCGATTAAGAAAAATACGGAATTGGGAAAAGTATATTCTCCCTCATCGCGATATGTGTCAGGCTATTAACAAAAAAAAAAAAAAACTCAGGAGGTTGTCGAATTACCAGTACACCCCTTTTCTTGTTGGGAATTATTCTGGACTACTGGATGGAAGTTGGATGGATGGTGCGAGATTGAATTTTGTAGTGATATTTAGGATAGGATTTTGTATCATATTCTCTCCCTTATTCAATTAGGTGCTACCATTGGAAAATTTCTAAATGATAATCTATTAATTACGACACGATTAAATACGGAACGAACTAAGGATTAGTATGAATATAAGTAGTTCAAATGCATATCTATGAAAAATCTATTTCAAATCATAAATTTGAAATATATCCATTTAAATATTTTTGTTTGAATATTCAATTGTAACTTTGAATATTCTAAATTTTTAGATGATTTTTTAATAGGGTTTAACCACCCAAACAATGTCATCGTTGCAAAACTAAAACTTAATCCCCGAATTTATCGTGTCTTGTAATTTAGTATCTAAATTGTAATAAATTTTAGGCAAAATACACTGTATAGCCAAAATTTCCACATTTGTGCCAATAATAGCCAGATTTGGCGAAATACCACTTATAGCCACTTCTGTCCGATTCTTTAACGGTGTTAGCGTTAAGTGTGACTAGACAAACGGAGATGCTTACGTGGGAGCTCTTATTTTCCTTTTCCTTTGTAATTATACACGTGGATAATGATTAATTAAAAAAAATTGACCAAAAATAAAATTGACCCGTCCTTCTCTGCCTTATCTTCTTCTTCTCCGAACCACCCCCTGTTTTACTACACCATCAACCTAACGAAGGCGACGTAGTGTCATCGATGACCCTCGTACCCCATCCTATTCCTTCCTCCACCATCAATCTACCCCTCCCCCAGTCCCGATTTTCCTCCATTCATCGAGCTTACCATATCCCCTCCTTCCTCGACAAAGAATGACAAGCATTCGATGGGTTGACCAACTGGCAGCGAGCTTTGACCTAATCCTTCGAAGTTTCTTTTCTTCTGGCGAACACAGAATCCACCCGTAGCAGACGTGAGAGAAGATGCTCGCTTGGACATGGCTGCAGCTCGCTTGAACTTTTGGGCAAGAGAAATCGCGAAATCCCAGAATCGCGAATCGGCAGAGGGTGGGATTGATGGGGAATGGAGAGGGTCTCGAATTGGCAGAGGGTCGCGATTAGCCGAACAGATTAGGATCGAAAGTGGAGGAGAATTGATGGGGAATGGAGAGCAATAATCGGCGAATCGATTAGAAGGGGGAAGAGGATTCGTGAGGAGAGGAAGTTTGAGGAAGAAACATATTTCGAAATCGGAAGGGGGAAGGGGATTCGTCGGGGGAGGAGATTTGGGGAAGAACCCTAATTGGGGGAGGAAATCGGAATCGGGTTGGGGAAGAAGGTAAGTCGCGATGCAGATGGTAATATAAGTAAATTTTTTTTATTTTTAAAGTTAAATACACTTGTATATCCAAAACTTTCACGGTTGTGTCAATAATATCCAAATTTCACGAAATACCACTTATATCCAATTCCTTCACATTCTTTAACGGTGTTTTTGGATATACAAGTGTATTTAACCAAAAATATATTGGGAAACGGATAGATTTGGCAAAGAACAACTTTAAAACATGGATATAAGTGATATTTCGGGAAATTTTGATATTATTGGCATAACCGTGAAAGTTTTGGATATACAAGTGTATTTTTTAATAAATAATAAATAATTAAAATATCTAACATGTAAATAATTGCGTAGTTGGCGCTGACGTGTTGGCTTAGGTGACTCCTAGTCAGCTAACCGTCAAATAAGTTGACGGTGTTATTAACACCGTTAAAGTTTCTAACGGAAATGACTATATTTGTCCTAAAACATATTCAAAAAGTGGATATAAGTGGTATTTCGCCAAATTTGGCTATTATTAGAACAAACGTGAAAGTTTTGGCTATACAAGTGTATTTTGCCTAAATTTTATGAATATAAGTTTGGTGGAAATTTACATTTAAGTACATTAGCATACCTACACTTATAAAATATTAAAAATAGGCGGATGCATGACGAATTTAAATCATTGTCTGTCAATAATTCAGTAATAGTAACCATAATCAAGAAACCACTTGTTTTTTTAGTGTTCTTACTTGCAGGAGCTGCTGGCGATTCTCCACTGTGAGTATTGGTTTAGTCGAGGCTCTTGGTCTGAAACTGTTTGTGCTACCTGTCACCTTAGCAGAAAGAAATCTGTTGCGGGGAGAATGGTGGGTTGGATTTGGTGTTTGTGTGCTGCAGGTATATGGAAGGAACGTTGTAAGAGGGTTCATGGTGAGCCTGGGCGAAGTGCTGTAGTAGTGGGTAACTCAATTTTGCAAGATTTAATGTTTCTGAGTTTTTATAACGGTTCTGCGAAGAATGATTTGCAAGTGTTAGGGATTGTTTCTTAAGGTTGCTGATAATGAGTAGTGTTGAGTTGGAATGAGAGGGGTTGTCCTCTTATTCGATTTTATCCCTTGGGTCTCTACCCAATTCGTTGTTTCGGGTTTATTTTATTAATTAATGAGAAGAACTAATTCAATGGAAAAAAATTTGTATTTGAATCCTACACATATTTTGGTTAAAATCCAAACGTAACTATTTCGCATCCAAACAAATTCTTTTAATCTCATATCTCAACCCAATATAAATGAAATCAAACTCTATGTATAATGTATTGGAACATATCCTTATCACTCAAGGCACAACTAAACTTTGTTCGGATTCGGTTCTATGTGACTCCAACCCAATAATAAGGGGATGATTATACAAGTTTGACATGAGTCTATGCCTTCTTTATATTGAGTCAATTTTTTCGTTATTCGTTTTCTCCTTCAAAGATCCACTAATATAAACCTACTCCGCGTGCAAACGTTGTCGGGTTGGTTTTTCTCTCTTTTGGTGTCGGCCCACGCTGGGACACGTGGTCTTGACACAAATCGGCATCCTCAAAGCGCCAAGTTGCCTTTAAATTTTGAAGCAACTAGTTTCCATCGTATCATTGTTGTTTTATGAAGTGACTTGAGGCAATAATGGATCTCTTGAATCCCTAAACTGGGGTCAAGAAGATGGAATTCAACTGACTTGGACTTAAACAATCATAATCACAACAATGTATGATACTAATTTAATTATTAAAAATAAACCATATTTTAATAATTCATCACGAGGGAAAAGAAGAGAGGTGCACTTGTTGTCTTTGGTGGCTGACAGCCAGTGGCCAGCAGCATGTGGGAAAAAAATGTATCCACCTGATGATCCCACCATTGTCCAATATACTATAGTGCATATATTTGGAATATTTTTGTTAATTAATTAATTAATTAATTAATCGATGATGGGACTCAAACAAGAAAATAGAAATATGCTCATTCGAAAGTCCCCTCTCATATACTTCTCTCAAATTAGTAATTAATGAAACCGGATGGCCATTTGTCCAGCGTAATTAAACTTATATGTATGGGGAATGACAATTGCAACAAGATTTTTTTTTTGGTAAGAAATTGCAACAAGAAATTGGTAGAATAATGCTATAAAGAAAAAATTAATTGCTCTGGGAGGATAAATAAAACTTGTGAACTTACGTCCTGGAAAGGTCACAATAGGTTGTAAATTGGTCTTCGAGATCAAATACAATTCAGATAGGAGTGTGGACAGGTACATGGGCGAACTGTTTTTTTACCCGTGCATTTTGTCATTTATGTTTCCCCAAGTTATGAGCACTTTTATTGTGCTATATAGTATTGATGCTTTAATGTACAACTTGAAGTTGTACCATAACATTAAATGTACAAGTTTAGGTTGTACCATAAAGGAATTTGTATCATTATGTTATGGTACAACTTTACAACTTGAAGTTGTACCATCACATAAGGTACAAGTTTAACACTACAAGAAAATCACTCTATAGTCACGGGAAATTAGTCATGGGAATTTTCCCGTGACAATATAAATAATAAATATAACGGTAATTAAATCCCCTGACTAAGTACACTAGACATTGTTAAATCGGTCACGGGGTTGTATCCTGTGATCAATAAGCGTCCCATTCCCGTGACCGAAGATATTCCAAATTTTTGAAATGGCGCTAAATTTTTTGGTTTTGGCTCGTTAAGTTTTCAACTTTTCCCATTTTTCAACTTTACCAAATTTTCAAAAGCCTTTTCAGCTCTAACCCTCGTACAATTCACCTTTACCCTTAATTCGTTTATCCTTCTCAGTTCGGCTGAGTGTATCCATCTCCTTGATTCCGCCCCTTCCATTCGCCCTCATCAACCTACTGAAGAAAGGTTTGCCGTGGCTGCCGCCTTCGCATCAACTGGTTCTTGCCCTGTCGGCGTTCTCCAATTTTGTTCCCTCACCGTCGTTCTGACCCTTCTCCAGTTTGGTCTTGCACATCCGATGCCCCTGTCCTCTGCATCTGATGGTTCGCTTCTTCTTTGAATCATCTATCGCTGCTTATTTTCGATTTTTGTTAAAACTTTAATCCTCTTTCAAATCAGCAGGGGAAGCACCGAGATGCATTCCCCCCACTGTCGGTAGATACCAGTTCCAAGCTCTGTGTACTCGGGTTAGTTCTTTTCTAGTTTTTGCCCTTACAGTCAAGTGAATTAGGTTAATTTCTATTGGGCTTTATTGCAATCACCATTGGGGTTTGTCTCTTGGCTGTTCATTGATTCTTTCACCCCTTCCCGTAGATAGAGCTCTTATCCCAGCCAATATCTCAGAGTCGCTGATGTAGATTCCAATACTAGTCATTTTGGAAGACGAATGCCATCAATTCGATAGAGAAGAAGGTTAAGCATGCTCATACCTTGTAGGCATGGGCATCTAGTGGAAGGTCAGAGTAAGCTTCTCCAGGTACAAAAACTTGCCAGACGTGGAATGGGCTTCACTTGGTGGATTTTGTGATGCCCTTCTTTCTTTTCGTCTTTGTTATCTCAATTGGCCTTGTCTACAAGGTAGATTTCCCAATAGTAAAGTTTCTATTTTTCAGACTTGAAAGTTGAAATGATAGGGAAAGAGGGAGTGTCGGTGTTAAAATGCTTTGCTTCCATTGTTGTTTCACTGAAAGATCCAAACAGACCAGAAGGTAGTGGGCAGAGCCGCCAAATTGTTCCTGTTGGGTATTTTTCTACAAGGAGGTTTCCTTCATGGGTTGAACTCACTCACCTACAGTGTTTACTTGTAAAGAATACGTCTGCTTGGAATTGTGCAGGTACTTCAATAGCAGGGTGCATGTTTATCTTGTGAATAATTTATCCTTTGTTCATTTGTATTGTCCTTGAATCCATATGAGTGGGCAAAAGTTTATGTCTTTCGTAAGGTTGTGCCTATGGATTCTTACTGTTTTGTTGTCATCATTCAAGCTAGAGAATATGAATTGGTTATATAGTTGGTGCTCTTTGTGAGATCTGGCTCTCACGCAGAACAAGGAGGGAAGTTGGAATCTTGAAAAGCTACTACTTGCATTGGTAAGGTCTTGGCTTTCGCTCCCCTCTTTTCCTTTTGGAAACCAATTCTCTAATCCTTGTTTCACATGATTCTTTCTACCTTCGTCTTTCCTGTCCATTAGTCATAGGAGAAGAATTTTTTTGTTCCTCATTTATCGGGCAGTCTTCTACTCTTTCATTGATAATAATGGTGGACATTTTGCATTGTTTCAGGGTTGCAGCATTTGCTATTATTGCAGTGTATCTCGGGGTATTATATGGCCTATATGTTCTAGACTGCCAATTTTTTGTACCTGGAGAAGCTTACTCCGACCTTCCACTAGATGCCCATGCCTACATGGTATGAGCATGCTCAACCTTCTTCTCCATCGAACTGTTTGGACAGTGTTGCCGTTTATGCAAGAAATTTTAGAACACTCGATTCCAATCCTGTATAGTGTATATAGATGTTGTTTTTGTTGTTGTTAGGAGAGTGTTGCTGGTTTTTTATTGGCTCTAGTCTTTTCAAGTATCTTATCTGATTTTTCTACTTACTTGAGCTTGATATGAGTATTACATGAACTGTTTCTTTCATTTGAATATTAGAAATGAGGGATTGCTTTTCATAGTTTCATGTGATTTGGAACATTAAAGTCGAGAATGATGGATATTGTCGAAGTTGAAAAAGCTTTTTGCAGCGACTTATGCAAAGGTATGAATACTTGTTTTATCATATTCCAAAGGGACTATAATGTTTCTCATATTTTTCAAGTTTCGAAAAAGAAGCAAGGTATGCAAATATATGAATTTTAGGTGGCCCCTGACTCTTGGCTGCATGACTTTGTCTACACAATTTGAGCTTCATCTGCAAACCAAACAAATAATATTGTCTAATAATTGTTAATTGGCAGTGCAAAAGTGGTTTATGCATTCTTAGTATGTCTTTTTCTATAGCCCGCATTATTACAATAGCTGTAGCAGCAGCAAGCTAGGATGGGGAGTGGAGGAAGAAATACAATAGTAGCTTTAATGAGAAGGCACCATCAGGTATCGGCAGACAACAATCACCTACCAATGATGCAGAAGTGGCGGTGGAAGCTTCCAATGATACTACTGGTCATGCTTGCTGAAGACACTCTACATTTTGAATTGAACAACAATCAACACATGTATACAAGTTGAAGGGGCAGGGCACTTAATTATGTGTACTGCTACATAGAACTATAGGCATTTTTTTTGATAAGGATAGAACTATAGGCATTAGAACTTGTGATTAATAATGTAACACCACATTAAGATGTTTTTATTGATATTATGAGACTATAATCAATAAAATATAATTATAATATTCATTCATTCAGTCATTTATAATATTATTGATTAATGCATTTGAATTGCACTTGATATTAAATATAATTAGGTTAATATAATATGGCAACTTCACAGTGACTAGTAGCAATTATCAATCGCGGGGAACCCGCGACCATTGAGAATTGCATCACTACAATCCCATGATTATTAGTCAAAATCCCGTGACAAATAATCCAATTAGTCATGGGACATCCTGTGATTATTTCATAAATTAGTCATGGGAATTATACTGTGATCAAAAGTTAGTCACGGGATTTACCATGGAGAAATATATGATTTGTCATGGGGATATTCCCGTTATTGTATCTCTTATGTCATGGGATTTCCCGTGATATTTGACCTTTGATAACGGGCACGCTTGACACGGGAATTTACCGTGACAAATGTTTTCCGTCACGGGAATTGGCTGTTCAGTCACGGGAAATCCCGTGATCGAAGGTGCATTTTCCTGTAGTGTTGTACCATAAAAGAATTTGTACAAAAAGTATAGGTACAATCTGAAGTTGTACCATAATATTAATGATACAATTTCAAGTTATACCATAAAGGTAAAAACCTATAGCACCAATGTTATATAGCATTGTAAAATTCCTCCCAAGTTATATGCTTGTTATTGGTTTATAATGTGTTTCAGATTCTTAAGATTGAGACTAATGTTATTTGGATGAACTAATGATGAAGGCTCTAGCCACAGGTTTGGACATCATTGGCATCATTTGGTAAGGAGTCAAACATGAGAGTGAAAATTAAATCAGCTGACCTGATTCTGACCTCGTTGATAGCCTAGAAAGCGTGGTGTCACCTACACGGTTTAATAATGAATTTGTTTGATAAATTTTTTTCAAGCACTCCACAGGCTATGTGGAATACCGTGGCCACTGTTGAGGTCAGCGTCATCATCTCAGCAATCAACTCCAGTTGGAATTAAATCCGCAGAATCGATTGGTTGATCACAAGGATGGAAAGTGGTGAATTTCAAAAAGAAACAAAGAAGGAAAGTCTAACGGCTATTCACAGAAGTTTTAGTACATAAAGCGCCAGAAACAAGAGGAAGATGCAGACTTTTCAAGCGAGACAAATTTATAGCACATAAGAGAATTGTGAGGGAAATTTGTGAGAGAAAAGTCAGCACAGGAACATTGAGGGTTTTTTAGTACTGGTACAGGGGTGAATCGGGGTGTTCTATTGGCGGGTTAGCTGAGAGGGGTGTGAACAGGAACTGGCGATTAGCCGTGGGCTAATATGACGGGAAACTACGTTGTATTTCAGGAGAGCTTCAAGAACATATCTTTAGTTAATCGTCATAAATCGCAAGAGCGCGATTCTCTGACCGTGGATTAGTCGGTGTTGGATTCATTAATCACCTAACACCGGATACCACGTAAAATTTGGTGTCTTGTTCTACTTTCTGCATTTAGTTGATTTTGTTTTAATATGCTATACATTGTTGTTGTTTCTGGGTTTAAGGTGAGTTGCAGGGGGTAATTTGATCCAACCCGAGAGAAGGGAAGGTTCGAATTGTGTTGGTGTAACAATGAGTATTAGGTAAGGGATTTGGGTCTCGTATTTAAATTGTGCAGGCTGACGAGAAGATTTAGAGTGGGTTTTAATTAAAACAACTATTGCGCTCCGGCCCCAATTCCAAAAAGACCTGGCTTGTCGCATCTGAAACACGAGTGTGTAAGAAATCTTCTTTACATTTCGATCAAACTCCTTTTCTAGCTAAAACCTTTTCGTTTTTTCTTGGCAAAAGTGTCAATAAGGGTTCTGTAGGTGCTGAATCCATCCAAGAAGAAACGAGGAAAAAGCAGATTTGTCTCCCGCTCAACGCCACCAACACGTGGTATCAGAGCCCGACTCTGTCGAAAAGGGTCAAGCGATCTCCGGAGTAGCAAAATATGGCGTCGAGTTCTGGAAAGGGGGCGGCTCTTTACCTCACGGATGGGTTTTCAAAAAATCGGCCACCAAGGTTTGAAGGAGTGAATTACGGGTACTGGAAGAACAGAATGGAGTTGTTCATTAGTTCAACAGATCCACAACTTTGGGCAAGAGTCATCAAGGGTCCGTATGAGCTCAAGACAGACCAAGAAAAATGGACCGACGGTGATTTTGAGAAACATAAGCAAAATTGCAAGACCATGAATCTTATGTACTGCTCGCTTGGGCCTGAGGAATATCACACAGTCCCTAGGTGCACAACTGCAAAAAAAGATATTGGATAAACTCCAGGTAACTTACAAAGGCACTTCTCAAGTTAAAATTTCCCGGATCAAAATGCTGAAAACAGAGTTTGAAACGTTCAAGATGAATGATGGGGAATCAATTAGGGAAATGTCGGTGACGTTCACTAATACAGTAAACGGTCTGGAAAATTTGGGAGTATCATATGACAATGGTGATTTAGTTAGAAAGATTTTATGGTCTCTACATAAGAAATGGGATCCAAAAGTAACTGTGATAGAAGAGGCAAAGGACTTAGCTACACTGAATGTCGATGAAATCATAGGGTCATTGGCCACTTATGAGGAGAAAAATCAAAAGAGAAAGTGGAGAAGAACAGAAGAAGGAAAGAAAGGGAATTCGCTTTCAAAGCACAAGTTTATGCGGAAGAGTCTGACGATTATGATGATATGGATGATGATGAACTAGCAATATTCAGCAAGCATATAATGCAGCTCACGAAGATGAGGAAGGAAGACGACGAGGAAACTTTGCAAATCAGCACAAGGAACAAGAGTTTGATAAATAATCTGTTCCTGGGAAACAAAGTTCAACCGTATGAATCAAAGGTTCGGAAAAGATGGCAACCCGATTGAGAAAAATCAAACTGAATGCTTCAAGTGTGGGCGCCGGGGTCACATTAAGTCTGAATGTCCACTTTGGACACGAGAGAAATCCATGAGGGCAGTCTAGAGCTGTAGTGAGGATGAAGGAGATGAACCTGAAGCAGCATCTCATGAGAGAGAGCCGTGTCTAATGGTTATCGACAATGCTTCACCGGACGTACACGGCAGGCCATCCGAGGTAAGTGTGAATCTGAGTACTATAGTGACGATGATCTTTTTAACAAAAACTATTCAAAGTATCCAGCAACAGTTCACTATAGTTAAAGTTAAGTACAACAAGTTGAAAGAGGAATTTGGTGGGCAAAATCAAATGTGAAACACTAAGTCAGCAAAATACGGAGTATAAAAATCAAAATAGGCAACTTGCTGAAACAATAGTTTAACTAGAAGATGATAACAACAAATTGCTTGATCAACTTAAGAACTTCAAAGGAAAGGACAGTGCGGATAATAAAGGAAGTAGTCTAGTAAACACAATGGCTAAGTTGGAAAATACAAAATAAACGTCTGAATGCTCAACTTAGTCATACCCTGCTAAACGTCACAAGTAGATGGCACACAAGGCGTGAAACAGATAGCAACTCAGAATGTTTTTATTGTCATCTTAAAGGGCATCTTATTAGAAACTGTAAAAAGAGAATAAAGTCATAAAATCGAAGAAGCTTCGACTGTCTTCTGAAAGTTTTGATCTGTCCAAAAAAAAAGCACCCAAGACAATCTGGGTTTGAAAAACGAATTGACTGCTATTGATGCAGACTTTCCTTCAAGCGAGCACAGAGGCAAACACCTGGATTCTTGACAGCGGGTGCTAACATCACATGACAGGAAACAAGACACTATTCACTGAATTTAAGAAAGGTAAAGAAGGTAAGGTCTATTTCGGTGACAATAACTCTGCTGAAATCCTAGGTAGAGGTCAAGTCGGTTCTTGTCCTAGGATATCAAACTTCATGTTAGTACATAACTTGAAACACAATGTGATCTCAGTAAGTCAAATCTGCAACATGGGAAATAAGGTAACTTTTGAGTATGATTTGTGTTACATGGAGAACTCCACCTTTGGAAAAAATTTCCTTATTGGGAAAGATAAAGTATATATTATTGATCTAGGCAGTACAAACGTGCCTAAAGAAACCTGTCTAATGTCCATAAACAAAGACGATCAGTTTGAATGGCATGGGAGTTTAGGGCATGTCAATACATAGGCTCTGACCAAGTTGGCTGAATTATAATTAGCTAGAGGTGTACCTAAAATCAAAAGCAAAAAGGAGTTTTTATGTGATGCGTGTGCAAAAGGGAAGCATTCTAGGTCAACATTTAAGTCCAATAACATCATCTCCACCACCAGGCCGCTTGAGCTTCTTCATTTGGATCTTTTTGGTCCAACCAATGTAGTAAGTTATGGAGGTAAGATCTATGATTTTGTCATTGTAGACGATTACTCTTGTTTTACATGGGTTCTATTCTTGGCCAGCAAAGACGAGGCTTTTCTAAGCTTTCGTGATTTGTCCAGAAAGTTAGAAAATGAAAAACTCACTAAAATTGTTGGGATTAGGAGTGATCATGGTGGTGAATTCATATATGATATTTTGATGAGTTTTGCAAAGAAAAAAGGTATTCATCATAATTTTCTACTCCTAGAACCCCACAACAAGACGGGGTAGTCGAAAGGAAAAATAAAACTCTCATTGAAATTGCTCCTACCATGTTAAATGGCTATAGCTTACCTAAACACTTCTCTACTGAAGCAATCAATACTGCGTGTTACACTATACATCGAGCCCTAGTAAGATCCGACATTAAGAAAACCCCTTATGAACTTTGGAAGGGTAGAAAACCAAACTTGGGGTATTTCCATACTTTTGGGTGCAAATGTTTTGTATTAAACATCAAGGATAATCTTGGCAAGTTTGATGCTAAGTCAGACAAAGCTGTGTTTCTAGGATATTCCGATTCAAGCAAAGCTTATAGGGCGTTTAACAAAAGGACCCTCAAAGTTGAGGAGTCCATAAATATTATTTTTGACGAATCTGTTCATGAAAGTTCAGAACAATTTGATGACGATGACTTCGGATTGGGAAGAAGCAAAAAATCTGCAGAAAAT